CCCGCCCGGCCTCCGCCCCGGCACATCCGAAAAGTGCACGGTGCCGCGATGAAAACTGATTCAGCAAGTATGAAAACGGTCGAGCTGGCCTTCGCCAAAGCAGAAAAAAGGGGGGGGCTCGGAGGCGAAGCACGCCTGGGCCGTTTCCTATGCCAGCAACCTGATCCCGCTCCGGGCTCCGGGGTAAGAACTGTAAGAACCCCATACCACTCGACTTGCCTTACCTGAGAAGACGGTTTTAATGTTCTCTACCAGTACCTTACTGCTTTGTGGCAAACCGCAAGTTCAAAGGCCCCTGGACCCGCACGAGAATGCTACCGAGTTGCCTTTGAAGGACATGCAGGCCGCAGCCAGCATCACTACAGCCCAGGCAAGGGCCGTAAAGATGCCAAAGTAAGCCGAAGCCAGACTAAGGCCCGCGAGGAGGAGGGTCACCAGTCCGAACCTGAGGCTGACTCTAGGGGCTTCTGTCCTGGAGCCTCATCTACTGAGTCTACTGCATCTTCCCGGATTACTTGGGCTCGATGCGCTCGCAAAGACTCGCCTAGGGCTTAGAATGTGGGCGGCGAGCAGTATGGCAACGGTCAGAACAACAAGGGCTGAGTGGAAGACTAAGGATTAAGGACAACACTGCGACGTATAGCAAGAGGAATTCGAAGTCATCGGATCCTCAAGTTCGGCTTCCCAAGGCGGACAAGGCACGCCAGGAAGATCAGGACGGACGTGAGGCAATCCAAGAGAAAATGCTGCCGCGGAGCCGCAAAGCGCTCGCACTGCATGAAGAGAAACTTTAAGCTGAACATCACGGCGATACAAAGCCCGACGTTGTGAGCAAGAATATGAGACATGACGACTTGCCAAGTCGCCCCGGCCCCGGCCCCGGCCTTCAAAAGCCCTAAAAGCTCTTCTAGGCTACTGCCCTGCCCCGGGGTCAGGATCACGAGGAAGTAGATGAAAGGCATCTGAAAACTGGAGGATTTTAACAGCTCCTGACGCAGTGGTCCCTGCACGTATGCGTTGAACGCTCCGATGCTTCCATACCATTGCACGATAGACTGATGCACAAACTCCTTGTCAAACGCAACTCTGCACTGAGCAGTTTCCAAATCGAAATGTTCAAGGTTCATCAAGAGCATCTGCTTGCTATACAGGCTGCGGCGCAGGAAGTGT